TTTTTAAAGGCAAATTGGGCCCTCCCGAAATGGAATCCTGGTTTCGGGACAAGGAGGACTATAATAGCAGCATAATTTAATATTTTTTTCATTTTTATTATATTTTGAGTTGGTTAATTAGCTGACTTGCGGTGTACCGATGGGACTCAAAAACCGAGTCGATCATTACCGAAAAATACTTTTATGAAAGTACGGGAAGCGGAGAGTCCGCTGATGGCATCGATTTATGATTTTGAGGTCCCGACCATTTATTTTGGGTAGCCCGAAGTTGAGAGAAAAATGGCAGTGGCGGTGATTTTATTGTCATTTTCATGTCTAGACTTCGGGTAACCGTCGGCCCTCGTTAAGCGTGCTGAAAATTAGCGGGAGTACTTTCTTGAAAGCACGAGAACAGTAGAAGCCGTTCGTAAAATTTATTTCACGTTTCGAAGTTTCGTGCATTTATTTTGAGAAGCTCGAAGTCGAGTGCGCATAATAGAAGAATAAAAAGCCGTTTTGCGGGGTTCCGTAAGGTTGCGTGTGACCTCGGTTTAACGAGAATCGAGTTGGAGCGTGTAGACAATTCAAGCACGATTCCATACGGACAAATTTCGCATTTTTCGGAGTTCTGAGCATTTATTATGGGAGTTTGAATTTCTGCGTTAAATAGTATCAAAATGAGCAAATTTGTCGAGGACGAGTTCGATCATTCGAGCTTCGTTTTCTCAATTTTTTCACCTTTTCGTCTATTCGAAAAGAAGTATAATTCTTGATTATTATTATAATTGAGTCCGAGATTTTTATTTGTATAAATTCGAGTATTTTTCGAGTTAAAACATTTCAGTTTAAGTATACCAGTTTAATTCCGGACTTAGTTTGATTTTTAGAAAAATCTCTAGAGTATTCTTTTATATCCAGCGAAAATTTTTGAGAGCGTCCACAAAAGCCCTTTGAGCGCCCTTCCGATGCCGGAGTGGGGGTGGTGCGCCGCGGCAAATTGGGCCCTCCCCAGAATGACCGGCTGGTTTCGCCATTGACCCACTGCAGCCCACCAACTCACAGACGCCCAGGGGATCCCCACACAAAGGGATGAGACTAATTATCCTAGGAAAAGTGCGATGTCTTACTGACACTCTTTGTGATAGTCACGATCGATTCCGTGACTTCTAGCTTCAAACTTCAAAGGGAGTTTCACCCTCCATTAGTAATGTAGCAGGAAGCAAGTGATGGGAAGAACAGAGAACACGAACACAAAGAACAGTTTCTTTTCTTTTCTGAATTCAATCTGATATTACATAACTGCCAGATAATGAAAAACTCATAGGTATTAATAATAATACAAAGTCATAACCACCTAAACCTAAAAGCCCACATAATACAAGCCCAACACAATTTAAATAATAATAATAATAATAATAATAATAATAATAATAATAATAATAATAATAATAATAATAATAATAAGAAACGGAATAACAATCAAACTAATGAAACGAGTCGATCATAATTGTCGAGATATGATAATGCAATCTCGTCGGCATCATTCTCCCCCGGGTGAAAGGATTCGCCCTCGAATCCGCAATCTTGTCGGTGTCCTGGACGACCCTGTCGACAAAATCACCTACGTCAAAGACAATTGAGCGACCATCCCCCGAACCAGATAACTCCATACACTGTGTTTGTAGTACTTTTGGGCAATTGGTAACTGAGTTACCCGGACTCGGGTCGTTCTCAAAGGAACGCTATTCGGACACGGATTCAAACAACGATCGACTCACACAAGAAAATAAAATAAAATCCTAAACACTTTACTCGCAATTTGGAGAATGGATTAAGCTAAGAACACAATTTAATCTAAGACGAAGGCAAGATTCAAACTTTATCACAAGCAATACCTCAATTTGCAAGAAAAAGAAAATAAATAAAAAAAAAAGAACAATGTACTCCTAGACCAGAAATGGAAAGAAGGCCCTCATAGGTTCGAGAACATGCAACCAAGCAATAGTCACTCGTGATCAATTAATCTCTCAATCAATTCTCGCTCACGCAATCAATAACAATATCACATAATCCCTAGCCTACGAGGATCATAGCATAATCGACTCATGGACGTGCCTATCTTAACCCTAGAATAACTCAATAAGTAAAGACAAGCAAGACTAACGAAATAGGGTCTTGGAGCCCTTAGAGAGAGAAAGAAAGAAAGTTAGAGAGAAGGCAAAATGAGGAATTGTCCAAAAATACAAAGCATGATGTCTATTTATAGCTACACCACAAACACACACTAAAAACACGCACATTTAGTCAAAAACACTCTCGAGCTCGCCAAAATTTCCGCGCGGTCTCGAGTTGGCAGGGCACTGGGCGCTGGGCGCGGGCGCGCGTTGTTTATAGTATTTTTGGGCAATTGGTAATCGAGTTACCCGGACTCGGGTCATTCTCAAAGGAAGGCTTTTTGGAGCTTCGTTCACTATCTAGTCGCCAAATCACAAAACCGAAAAGGTCCTAAACATGCTACTCGCAATTTGGGGGGTTTGAATTTAAGCTAAACTAATCTACTAAATTGAGGGCAATTGAAAGCAATTAACAAAGCAAGAGAAAGCACGCAAGAAGATGAGAGGAATCAAGAGGAAAAGAGAGATTTTGGTTCGCCGGAGTCTCTATGATCAAACACACACAAATAAACGAACATTGCGATGCTAGCTAAAACCCTAGGTAGCTAAACCAAACTCTAGCACAAAATGAGCAAGCATTTAACTCCTAATCACACTTAGTCAAGCATTCACGATCCAAAGATTCAATCTTTTCCTCCAAGCAACTCAAGCACAATATCAATTTTCACAAAAGCAAACAAAGATATACGAAGTAATGAGGCTTAAGACTAAGTACCCACTCTTACACGCACTTGGAAGGAGAAACGGAGTCAAAAGCTCGAAACTTTACTCGAAACAATGTCGCCAGAAATTCGCCAGAGAACTTGATTCATATGCTCCAAACCGAAATATATAAAAAAAAAAAAGGAAAAAAGAAAATAGAGAGGATTTTCTCAACTTAAAAGTTGGGAAATGAGGTATTATGTCCAAAAATACAAATCACAATGTCTTTTTACAGCTACACCACAAACACACTAAAAACACGCACATTTAGTCAAACACTCTCGAGTTCGCCACGAAATTCGCGAGCTCGCGAGTCGGCAAGGCAGTGGGCGTGCATGGGAGCGCACGGGCGCGCGCGCAAGGATGCATGGGCGCAGGCGCGGGAGGCTGGGGCTCTCGATATCGCGGATGAATCCACGGGTGTTCATGTGTGATTTTACACCATATTCATATAGTATCTAGAGCTTATTTGTCGCATTATTGGTGTATAAATTGCATTATTGTGCTTAATTCTAGATTTGTTGGGAAGGTATTACACGTGCTTGTTTTGTAGATATTTTCACATTTTTGTAGAGCTTTGGCTATTGGAGGAGCATGGTGAGTGTCTAAGACTCCCAGAATGATGATAGATCGATGCACGGATGAAGAGAATGGAAGAAACGAGCGAAACGAGCCGAAAATGAGTGTACAGTGGTGTGACACGACCCATGACACGGGCTCCCAGGCCGTGTCACGACACGTGTCGTCCAACAGAAGAGTGCAAGAACAATACATGTGACACGACCCGTGACACGGGCGTGTCTGGTCGTGTCGCGCACGCGGGCAGTTTTTAATCCCTTGCCTTTTTGGATAAGGAGAGAAGTTTTGGACATTACAAAAGATATATTAACCCTATTTTGAAGGAGGAACGTAGAGAACACAAGGAGAAGGGCTTGGAACACATAGGAGAGACAATTGGGAAGAAGAGAAGATCAACCACAAGATTTCTAGTTTTTCTTTCTCTTTTTTGAACTTATTTTTCTCATGATGATTTCTAATATGTCTATGTATTTGTATTCAAACATGAGTAGCTAAATTTCTTTGATTCTAAGACATGATAGTAGATTAATAGTTTGGGATTTTCGAATGATTTATCATAGTTGATTGTTTTCTTTTGAACTCTATTCAAATATTTTGTTCTTATTTCATGAATTGCAATTGGCCACTGCTTTTACATGTTTGATGATATTGTTCATAATTCGAGAGATGAGTTCAATATTAGATCTTTAATATTTGACACAATTTATTTGCTTGGATCGAGAGATTAGTAGATAGTTGTGAGGATTTTGGGTCTTTTAATCTTTTTGGAGTTTAATTGCATGTGTTGAGTGGAGACGCTAATATGTGTGATTTAATCTACGGTTTTATCGATCTTGAGAAGGACGATAGGCTAATTTTGTGATCATCTTATAGGGTAGATAAAGAAAATAGTTAGTTGTGATATATTTGAAGGAACCCAACTGTTAATTGATCCCATAGTCTTAGAATCTACCATTCCCATATATTCTGCTTAAGTGTTTTTCTAGTTATTTTCTTGTTATCGATTTCTTATACTTTCATTTATTTTCTTAGTTTAGTTAATCAATCTCATATTCGGTCGTCTAAATAAAGTTGACACTATCATAATCTTGTACTTGATATATAAATTATTTGGTCTCTTGGGATATGACCTTGCTTGCCACATACTACGAGCGAAGCCGTACACTTGCGGTTGAGCTTTAAAAATATAGGCGAACAAGTTTTTGGCGCCGTTGCCGGGGACTATTATAGTTATTTATATCAATATTAGGATAGGTAGTGAAAATTTTAATTTAGATTTTTTTTTTTTTTTTTTATTTGTGACATAATATTTCTTATTCTTGATTTCAGGACGTGCATGTTAACTCGCTCTAAAAGTGAACCACTACAACCCCTGATTGACGAAGTTGAAGCATTCGCTAGACGCAATAGTGCAACAACCAGAAAAAGAAGGGCAATTCAAAGTGCACAATGGCAGAGCAAGAACAACATAAACAAGCGATTCGTGACCACTTTCGACCTGAATTTAATAAGAATTTTGGCGGGATTGTGCATATACCCGTCAATGCAAATAATTTCGAGTTGAAGCCCTCCTATATCTCGATGGTGCAGAACAACCAATTTGGTGGGCACCCGACCGAAGATCCGAACCAATCTTGACCCAGTTTTTGCAAATTTGTGATTTGGTCAAGTACAATGGTGTCTCCGAGGATGCCATACGGCTGCGTCTATTTCCCTTCTCTCTAAGGGATAAAGCTCGGAGTTGGTTGTCGATGATTTCTGATGGGAGCATTAAGACTTGGGAGGAGTTGAACCAAAAGTTCTTGCTTAAATATTTTCCTCCAAGCAAGTCGATGCAACTGAAAAGCGAGATTACTCAATTCAAGCAACAAGACTCGGAGCCTTTATACGAGGCGTGGGATCGATTTAGAGAGTTGTTGCGAAGATGCCCTCGACATGGTTTTCCAGATGATCAACAACTTTGTTTCTTCTATAACGGGTTGTTGGGGCAAACGAGAGCCTTCGTAGATGCGGCTGCTGGAGGAGTTTTATCGGCTAAAACACCGGAGGAAGCGTCCAATTTATTGGAAGAGATGGCCGTGAATAGTTATCAGTGGCCTTCCGAGAGGTCGAGCATTAGACGAGTGGCGGAGGTGACATCTTCTGATCCAATTAAGGAGTTAGCAGCTCAAATGTCGTCATTGACGATGAAATTAAATGCTTTGACAAAAGGAGCTGATGAGATGAGTGGAGGACAAGGCAACGTGTTACCACTGGATCCCTTACCAGAGGCTAATTATATCAATAATCGGAACTTCAGCAATTATCACTCCAATCCGGTGCCGGGTTTCTATCACCCGAATAATAGGAATCATGAAAATTTTTTCTATGGAAACACGAAGAATGTGCTCCAACCACCACTGGGGTTCAAGGTGGTCAACGGTGAGATCGTCAAAGAGAAGAAGACGGACATGGAGAATATTTTGGCTACCTTCATGAATTAGACGAAAAATTGTTTCAACAAGGATGAGGAGAAATTGGACAAGATCGAGAATCATGTGACTCAACTGGCTACGACAATGGGGGCTCAAATGAAGAATTTGGAAACGCAAATTGGCCAACTGGCCAAGGTCGTAGGGAGCCAGCACCAAAGGGGTCAATTCCCTAGCAATACAGAGTTAAATCCTAAGGAGCAATGTCAAGTTATCCGCCTACGGAGTGGAATGGAGTACGAAGGCCTCGGAAGGTGCCGAAGGAGAAGGAGAGTGAGCCGAAGGGGAAAGAGAGCTTGGAGCTAAGCGAAAAGGAAGAGGATGTTCGTGATGAATTGGAGAAAGAACCGAATGTCATGTCGAAAAAAGGGGCTGAGAAGCTTAAATCTACTTCTAACTCTAATTCTCATAAACGTCCTGTTAATTTACCTTTTCTACAAAGATTTCAGAAGAAGAATTTGGATGCCCAATTTGCTAAATTTTTGGATATATTAAAGAAAATTCATATAAATATCCCTTTTGCTGAGGCCTTGGAACAAATGCCAAATTATGCGAAATTCTTGAAGGATGTGATGTCCAAGAAGAGGCGAGTTTAGGATCATGAGATGGTGAACTTAACCGAGAAGTGTAGTGCGATCCTCCAACGCAAGATACCTCAGAAGCTTAAGGACCCCGGAAGCTTTACTGTGCCTTGCACAATCGGGAACATTTTCTTTAGCAAAGCTTTATGTGATCTTGGTTCAAGTATTAATCTTATGCCTTTGTCGATTTTCAGGAAGCTAGGATTGGGAGAAGTGAAGCCATCTACGGTAATCTTGCAATTAGCGGATCGTTCGGTAACATATCCCAAGGGGATTGTTGAGGATGTGCTTGTCAAGATTGATAAATTTATATTTCCAGTGGATTTCGTTGTGTTGGACATGGAGGAAGATAACGAGGTGCCATTGATTTTAGAAAGACCGTTTCTAGCGGCGGAAGATGCCTTGATTGACGTCAAAAAGGGAGAACTTACTTTGCGTGTTAATGATGAGCATGTGTTATTTTCTATAGGGAAAATTACATTTTACCTACCTAACTATCCGAAAATTTACACTTTGCCCACAAAACTTTTTTTTGTTACACTTTGCCTACCTAACTTTGATTTTTTGTACACTTTGCCATTTCCGGTCATTGTCGGCGACACGTGGCAATAAGGCACAAAAGCCACGTTTTGGTTTATGACGCCGGCGGTGACCGGAAAATGGCAAAGTGTACCAAAAATCAAAGTTAGGTAGGCAAAGTGTAACAAAAACAAGTTTTGTGGGCAAAGTGTAAATTTTCGGATAGTTAGGTAGGTAAAATGTAATTTTCCCTTTTCTATATATAAGGCTATGAGATTTCATGATAATAATGCGCATTGTAACTTTCTTGATACTATTGATTCATGCGTCTTGTCCCATCTTGATCATACATTGTCTAGAGATTCTTTGGAATATGGATTGATTAATTCTTGTTCTCCTAATGATTCGATATTTTAATTGAATGACTCTAACTTATACGAATATGTGTTTTCTTTGGATTCTACGCAGGAGGAAAGCAAGCCGAAAGAGATTTTGAGTTTGGGGATCGAAAAGGAGAAGAAAAGATGCGAAAGTAGGCTCTGTAGAGGTGACACGGGCTGCGACACGACCGAACAGCCCGTGTCAGGTGGTCGTGTTAAGAACCGTGGAAGTTGAAAAATCTGCCCAGACTCGACACGACATGCGACACGGGCCATGTCAGGTGGCTGTGTCACAAGTTCAGGCACGAGTTTTTGAGGGGCAGTCGCGACACGGTCGTGTCGACCGTATTGGAGGTCATGTCAGGCCTTTCAAGCTCTATTTCGCCCGATTCCAGTCCCTCAAAGCCCAACGTACTGACTATGGAGCTTAAACCTTTGCCGGAGCACCTCACATATGCATATTTGGGTGAAAATTGCACGTATCCGGTAATTGTATCCTCGTGTTTAACTTCTGAGCAACTAGATAAGTTGTTAAGGGTATTGCGTACGTATAAGTCAACTATAGGTGGGTCTATTTCCGATCTTAAGGGTATTATCCCATCTCTTTGCATGCATAAAATAAGAGTAGAAGAAGATTATAGACCCTCTGTGCAAAACCAACGACGCTTGAACCCTGTTATGCAAGAAGTTGTTAGGAAGGAAGTGCTTAAATGGTTAGATGTCGGGATTATTTTTGCAATTTCTGATAGTGAGTGGGTGAGTCCGGTGCAAGTTGTGCCGAAAAAGGGAGGAATGATAGTAGTGACGGATGAGAAAGATGAGTTGATAGCAACTAGGATAGTGACGGGTTAGCGAATTTGTATAGACTATAGGAAATTAAATGCGGCAACTCGTAAAGATCACTTTCCCCTCCCCTTTATTGATAAAATTTTGGATCGTTTGGTAGGAATGAAATATTTTTGTTTTCTTGATGGTTATTCGGGGTACAATCAGATCATGATAGCCCCAGAAGACCAAGAGAAAACCACTTTTACATGTCCTTACGGTACTTTTGCATTTCGTAGAATGCCATTTGGGTTGTGTAATGCGCCTGCTACTTTCCAACGATGCATGATGGCAATTTTTCATGGGCTTATTGAAAATATTATGGAGGTTTTCATGGATGATTTCTCTGTATTTGGTGATTCTTTTAATTCTTGTCTGCATAATCTTACTCTAGTCTTGCAGAGATGTGAAGAGACTAATTTGGTTCTTAACTGGGAGAATTGCCATTTTATGGTACGAGATGGTATTGTTCTAGGCCACAAGGTTTCATCTGAAGGATTGGAGGTAGATCGGGCAAAGATTTCGGCTATTGAGAAGCTTCCACCTCCTGCGAATGAAAAGGCTATTCAGAGTTTTCTTGGGCATGCCGGTTTCTATAGACGGTTTATTCGTGACTTTTCTAAAATTTCGAAGCCTTTGAGTCAATTATTAGAAAAAGATATTGCTTTTAATTTTTCTGCTGATTGCTTGCAGGCATTCGAGACGTTGAAGAAAGCATTGGTGAGTTCTCCAATTTTGGTGGTCCCCGATTGGTCTCAACCATTTGAGATCATGTGTGATGCGAGCGATTTCGTTGTTGGAGCAGTATTGGGCCAGCGACCTAATAAGATTTTCAGAGCTATTTATTATGCGAGCAAGACACTTGATGGAGCCCAACAAAATTACACAACCACAGAAAAGGAGATGTTAGCCATTGTCTATGCCTTTGACAAATTTCGGGCTTATTTGATTGGCCCCAAGACGATAGTGCATACAGACCACGCGGCAATCAAGTATCTATTTGACAAGAAGGATGCTAAGCCACGCTTGATTCGGTGGATTCTCTTACTACAAGAGTTCGATGTTGAGATTCGTGATCGTCGAGGTTGCGAGAATGTGGTGGTGGACTATTTATCGAGGCTTGAGTATAAACGGCAGGAGGCCGATACCACCAGTGATATTAAAGAGGAGTTTCCAGACGAAAAACTCCTTATGATTGAGGCCAAATTTACGTGGTACGCCGACATCGTCAATTACTTGGTGGACGGAGTCCTACCTCCGGACTTGTCATTTTATCAGAAGAAGAAATTCCTCCATGACGTGAAGTTCTATATGTGGGATGAGCCTCTTCTCTTTAAGAGGTGTGCTGATATGATCATTAGACGATGTGTTCCACAAGAAGAGTGAGATGGAATTCTTCAGCAGTGTCACTCTTCACCGACGGGTGGCCACTTTGGGTCAGCTCGTACCGCGGCAAAGGTATTACAAAGTGGTTTCTATTGGCCGACCTTATATAAAGAGTGCTATATTTTTGTGAATTAGTGTGATCGATGCCAGAGGATGGGCAATATTTCTAGACGCCATGAGATGCCTATGACGAATGTGATCGAGGTCGAGTTGTTCGATATTTGGGGCATTGACTTCATGAACCCGTTCCCTTTCTCATGTGGGAACGGGTATATATTACTTGCTGTTGAGTATGTCTCTCGTTGGGTGGAGGCAATTCCCTCGATCACCAATGATGCCGCTGTTGTTCTCAAGTTTCTCAAGAAGCATATTTCACACGGTTTGGAACCCCGAGAGCTTTAATCAGTGATGGGGGTTCTTACTTTGTGAACAAATTGATGGAGAAGCTTCTTTCGAAGTATGGCATCAAGCATAAAGTGGCCTTAGCCTATCACCCGCAAGCAAATGGGCAAGTAGAGGTGGCGAACCGAGAAATCAAGCACATATTGGAGAAGACAGTGAGCTTTAAAAATATAGGCGAACAAGTTTTTGGCGCTGTTGCTGGGGAATTTTTGGTTATGGAACTATCTTGTTCATTGAGGATTGTTCATGTTTATTAAGATAATGTGTGGTATGACTAATTTGGTTTAATTATCTATTTGTCGCAGGATATAATGAATCGTGGAGGTAGAAACTCGAGAGGTAGAGGACGAGCAAGGGGTTCGGACGCCAACTTTATACCGAGGGCGGCTATACAACCGTTAATCTTTAGTGTTCGATTGAAGACGGACGAGGAAAAGGCGTGGTGGAAAACGCTTTCCAATTTGCGATTGGTGGCAACGAGGTACATGGACGATGAGGCACTAGTCACCCTTGGCCTCTATGATGATGTAGTAAAGCTAATTCGAAGAGCCGGATGGGAATATTTAATGACGCAAAAATGGCCGACGTATGTCGGTCTTACATTGGAGTTCCTTGCCACTTCGGAAGTCGAGAAGACGAGCTATGATCATATGGTGAAGACAATGAAATTTCGTCTTCAAAATAGAAACTACACTCTCGATACAAAAACATTGGAGAAAGAGATATATCAAGCCTCGAAAGATCCTAGCATCCCGTCGTCATTTAACTCCCATGATGCGTGGAGTTTGATAGCCGGGACTCCATCACAACCCGCCCCGAGCTACATCCCAAAGTCGGCTAAGGCAACCTCAATACGCAATCCGGTGTTGAGGTTTTTGCATAAAGCAGTGGCGAGCACCATATTTGCTAGAGGAGAGATGGGCGGTTGTTCTCTCTGAGAGCTTATTGCCATTTGGTGCATGCTCAAGAGTAAGCCCGGACTCACCGGGAAGTGGGCTGCGACGCATTTGTGGGAGGCGGCCATAGCTGAGTCGGGGGTCGTGTGCGTGGGTGGCATGATTACGCCCATTGCGATGTTTTGTGGGGTTGACGTGACGGTGATGGCCCCCGTGAGTGCTACGCTGTTGATTAATATGGCGGCGCTCAAGGCAATGAACTTTGTTCGTTAGGATGGCAACCGATACTTGTTCATACAGAAGGCTCACGATCATTTTCCATTGTCGAATGCTCAGTTCACCATGGTTGATAGTGACAATGACGTGGTGAACATTAAGATGTGGAGCGATGCACACTCGGCGATGATAAATGAGGTGCAAACGACATTTGGCCAGTCGGTTGGGGGCGTGAGTAGGAATGTCCGACCTCGCGTAGAGTTGCACCCGAGCGTGGAGGAGGAGAATGAGTACGAGCGAGGTGGAGACATTCCGATGGATGTTCCGGAGAGCTCCAATCAAGGAGCGGAGAGGCCCGTTTTCCCTCCTTCCTTGAGCTTAGATGATCGGATGACGAGTTTGGAGGCCGAGATGAGAGGTGTGCAGGCGGATCAGAGAGATATGATGGCGATGATTCGCCAAATGCATCAGTGGCACATGGATGAGGGCCATTTTGGCCCACCACCTCAGTGAGTTTTTTGGTTTGTGAGTGTTTCTTGATCCTTAGTTATGAATTTTTGTTCCCTCTTGTGATTCATAGAATTTCATTTTAAGTTTGGGGGGAGTAATTTATAGGATTTTAAGAAAACACATTATCTTGCATATCATATAGTTGCATGTTAGGTTTATTGCTTTAGCATGTTTATTGTTTTTGTAGGATTTGAGTAGTTGTAGTTGGTCAACTTGGATTCACCTTGATAAGTTTGTTATGCATATTGGATATGGAATTCGGGCATGATGTACTAGGTGATGGAATTTGATGATGAATTGAATTATGAATTTGAATGATTGGTTGATGCTTTTAATTCATGAATATATGAGCACTTGTGAGCTTTTGAGCCTTATACTTTGTTGATTGAGTGTATCGTTCATTGTTATTGAATTCTAGAACTTGCATTGGTATCTATATTGAGACTACATGGTGTGTGCTTTTTGTGAAAATGATTTAAGGCATATTTTTGTTTTAGCCCTTTTGACTTTTAGCTTACCAAGTAATGCTTTTATTCCCTAGTCAACCCTTTTGAGCTTTTGCCTATTTTATTGATTGCCACACATTAAGCTATTATCTTTATTTTTTCTTGTCCCTACTTGAGCATTTAGGATTATATTATGTGAAGGGATGAGTGTGTTGTGGTGGTGAGAATAAAGGGATGTTTTGGGATGAAAATGTTGTTTGGGAATTTGAATAAGGCCATTGAATGAGGGCAATGAGAAAAAGAAAAAAGAAAAAGAAAAAAATAGAAAAAAAAAAGAAAAAAATTTATTTTGTATATAGTTTGCCTTAATTCAAATAAAGGCGATTTTTGGTTTTTTGTTTGATCTTTATTCTCTTATGGATTGAGATAATTGATTGAATTTGGGTAGTGGATGGGTTATGTTGATAAAGAGATGAATTGTTGTGGTTCATGTTTTGTAGTTCTAGATGCTCAAGTGTTCGTCACTTTGTTCATATTTTTCCTACCCTAACCAAAGAGCCTACATTACAATCAAATAAAAAAGTCCTTTTTGATTCATGAAATGCATGCACTATAAGTGGTGGAGATAGAAGACGATTTGCAAGCTTATGGTAATTCTTTGACATTGAATTGATTTGAGCGATTATTTCCCTATACACTTTCGAGAGTGAGAGTATACACTTATTCGGTGAGGTATTTGTGGATTGAAGTATTGACCATGACCCTGATGAAGCATTCCTTTTGTTTAAAGATTTCGGAATTTAGTATGTTATTTGTCTGATGACTATTGATGATGTGTATGATCGACTTTGAGAGTTGTGATTGTTTTTCTTTGTGTGTTGAGAGAATGAGATGCATTGATCGGGACTATCAATGGTTTAAGTTTGAGAGTTTGTTCATGTGTGATTTTACACCATATTCATATAGTATCTAGAGCTTATTTGTCGCATTATTGGTGTATAAATTGCATTATTGTGCTTAATTCTAGATTTGTTGGAAAGGTATTACACATGATTATTTTGTAGATATTTTTACATTTTTGTAGAGCTTTGGCTATTGGAGGAGCATGGTGAGTGCC